TTTGCGCGACGGAAAATCGAAAATTGCCGATCGCGCGTGCCGTGCTGTCAAAGTTTGGACGTTCGCGCCATCTGGTAACACTCGTGGGAACTAAAATTGAAAGGACACACGATTAAAAAATGTTTTCGACTGTCTTATATTTGATATTCATGATCCATACAATTTTTTTTTTCCATTCTTTCTTTCTTTCTTTCTTTCTTTCTTACAAGTATCAATACAACTATCTATTCGAGATATTCATCACTATAAATATATTTATAAAAATCACAGCGAATAAGGCATTTTTAAACGCAAACACGTATGTATATCCTCGCTACATTCTTACCGCGTCCATCAGGCTTAACGTGTTCAAATAAGCGTAATATGCCAACAATTTTATTTTAACACGAAGTTTTTAAATAAACATGACCTGCCAACAATTTTTCGTAACATCGAAAATTACACCGGTTAATTCGTTCGTATAAATGCATCCGAAAAGCGTTTTCTTCTTTGCTCGCTCGATCGATCGATCGATCGATTATTTACGAGCGTTCGCAATTCTTCAATTGTATCAAGTCTTCAGGTCTGTACACTCCAACTTCCGTAATGATGCCTTTAATTAGACTAGCCGGCGTTACATCAAAGGCTGGATTCCAACATTGTATCCCAGGTGCCGCGATTCGTTGGTTATTTATATGCGTCATTTCCCTCTCTGGCCTTTCTTCGATAACGATATGGTCGCCACTGGGAATACTAAAGTCTATGGAGGTTCGTGGAGCCGCTACGTAGAACGGAACGTTGTGGTACTTAGCGACTATGGCAATCTGTGAAGAGAGAAAAGGAAAAAAGAAACCACTTAGATGTATAATAAACACTTCAGAGGTGCCAACGAAGACACTTGTTGCAAATATTATTACTTGATAGGTTCCGATTTTGTTAGCTGTGTCGCCATTTGCAGCAACTCTGTCCGCACCGACAACAACCGCAGATATATTCCTTGATTTCATCAGAGCTGCCACCATGTCGTCGCAGATTAGAGTGGCGGGAATTTTTTCATACACTAATTCGTACGCAGTCAGTCGTGCTCCCTGATTATATGGCCTAGTTTCAGAGCAGTATGCGTGTTCTGCAAGGGTAATTCGTACTACGTAACTTTATCAGAACTGGTCTAACACATGAGACTACAAACATGCAAAAGTTACCAAGACTATTTTTGTTATGAAGAGATCTAATAACACCTAAGGCTGTGCCATAACCTGCTGTTGCTAAACTGCCGGTATTACAATGCGTTAAGATCCTAACAGAATGGTCCCCTGACACGTTCTTCAAGATCTCCTGTGCCCCAAAGTCCCCGATGGCCTTGTTATCAGCGATATCCTTCTCCAACATAGCTTCTATGGCTTCGAAAAATCTGTAAGAATCACCATTGTCGTTAACAATATTGAAAACAGCTCAATCTACAGACCATTTAAAGGCCAGTCCTCGTACCTTTCTTTCATCTCTGTTACGTTAACAGTTTCATCCTTGGTAAGTTTATTAGCCAGCTGAATCAGTTCGTCCGCAGCTATTTTCATATTAACAGCAGTTGGCCGGGCAGAAACCAAATAATTCAATTTGCCCTCCACATCCTGTCGAAGGCTCTTCTTGTCTGTGTACTCCTCGTTTTTAATCTCTGTTGCCAAACTCAAACAGCCTACGATGGCTATAGCTGGTGCTCCACGAACCTGCGAACGCGACAATAGATAAACTTTGCGATTAAATGCCAAAGGCATCTCCATTTTTGCCAACTGAGACAATGGCACAATTGCTCGGTTGGGAACGGCCGGCGATTTAAATCCAGCTAATTCCACCAATTAAAATTCCGTTCGCGTAAATCGCTTGAAATTGCCACTGAGGTTTCCTTCACTCGCGATTCAACTACTCCGACATCTTATTGTTCACTGTCAATAGGAACGTTTGAGGCGCGTTATCTTGCTATTATACCACCACGTACACAAACCACGTTTGACGCGGCAGACGACGAGAGATCGCGGCGACATTGAAAGAAGGCAATTCTCTGCTGTTCGCAAACGCGAATACAGATAGAACACACCGTACCTGCATGTTATTTATGACTTTCCAGCCGTCCTCCACGCCTCTGACAGGGATGTATCGGGAGATCGCCGGCAACAATATTTGATCAAGTATCTCCAGCTTGTCGTTCTCCCACTTGATCGCTTGCAACGTCGTCATTTTCGTCTGTCAAAAGGGTGAAACACACACGTGTCCCTGGAATACAGAGCACTGATCGGTGCCGGATATATACACGCAGATTCGAGCTGCGGCTAACAGAACCGCGGCCTCGTAGTTTCTGAATGAAACGAGATCCCGTTCATTTGAAGCTCACGTGCACTTCGAACGGCCGTGACTCGAAGCCTATCGTTACGACGCGACGTATCGTGAAGCAATCACGTGTATATACTTACGTAGTCCGCATCTACGTATAAATAAGTCCCGCTCCGCGCCATCTGTCCGTCGCCGGCACAACTATACCACACACTAAACACCCTCCTAAACGGAAGTTCCGTTACGCCAGACATTTGAATTTATTCCACATTCACGGCGCTTCCACGCCAAGGGAAAAAAACTTACGAGCCCGAACGTGGAATCCGTGGAATGTCCAATAAATGACAAACTGGACAAAGAGAGAGTGACGTTCTCCGAGCGTTCTCGTTAAGTGACTTTTTCGATAACACGCAACACGCGTTGCTAACATTTTTGTTTTGGCAAATTTTCGAAAGACTGCTCTTCCCTCCCTTTGTTGATAAAAAAGATAGATCTTCCTTAGATAAATAGAAGAATTATTTATTTATCTAAGGAAATGATTTGTTCGCAGTAACTGGCACTCCGAGAATCAAAATTTACTTTTCTCTTTCTGATTTAATGTCGATGACAATAACAAGTGCATTTATCATACATCTCTGTTTTGTAAATTACTGTGATCTTCAGTTTCACGATATTACGATATCTATGTATCTAAAGATTACGCTCGATGAGAGCCCACCACTCGTGTTTATTCGTGTAAAACAAAACATTCTTACGATTTCCTGTTATCTCGATTAAATATCAATTTTCAATAAATCAGAAATTTCCGCTGCAAATACCATGCTTGTTACACCGCGGCACAATAGTATGAAAATAATCCTTCTTTACGTGTGTTCTACGTACTTATATTGCAAGATAACTGCTGCATATTTTGCCAACGATATCGTTGGATACAGCATTACAAATAATACAAGGAAAATACAGTTTATCTCGTTCCTTGTTTGTTATTTGCAATTCGAGTGCATATACGTATGTGTCGGAAACTCGAAAGAAAATCACGAGCGACTGATATTTTCAACGAATATAATAATAGTTAATGAAGTTAGTATTTCTTTTATAATAATTTGGATTTCATTAACCCCGTCGCGTCGCGATATTTCGCCAGAGGTATTTCAACGGAATTCTAAAAATGTATTTCTACATATGTTCCATCCATTATGTTCCCGCGATCATTTATTCTATTTCCAATTCTAGCAAATCGTGCGTATTTTACTCGTCGCGATACTTTATTCACTCCATCGCGGAGAAGAATTTCGATTTTCGGCAGAACTTCGAAATTAATAAAATGAAATTAAGGCAAAAGATAATACTGTACCTTTGTTACGCTGCAACAACGTGAGGATTTTCGATACGAGCCACGAAGAAAACACGACGAAAATTTTTGACTGAAAAATTAAGCACTGCTAACAAATACTGATAAAAGCACACTTTTTTTTCTTAACAATTTGCTGCACGAGAACGGTACTTCACTATCGTTCTTCCTTTAACAATTCCTCGATAGAGACCAAAGGAATTAAGAGTTCGACCAAACTGTATTCGAAGAAAACTACGACTGTCCCTAAATGTCCGGACATTTATAGTTTTGCACCCTCACTATTTCCAAGTGGGCGTTCCAAGGGCACATAAAAGGAATCATGGCGATTGGTATTCCAAAATTTTAGCGAAAACCAATCAGCATGTTCCTTTGACCACCGCTAATCTTGCCTGGCGTTCATCGCAACAATAACGACAAATTATGAATTGATCTTTTTTTTTCTTTTTTTTTTTTT